CTGAGCAGCCCTGAGCACAGCCTAGCTGGCTTCCAAGTAGTGATCTGTCTCCGAAACAGACTCTTCCCTGGAGCTCCTCTTCTTAGGGGCTGGTTGACGGGGCAGGTCAGGCCAGGCCAGTCGTTCAGTGATTTTGGATGCAGTCAGCAGAAGCTTCTTTGTCCTGGCGTTACGTGCAAGCTCAGCACTTTTGAGAAGATCAAACAGCTGCGCAGGCGCTTTGAGAAGGAGATAAGCTACATCGGGGGGGGGTTTATCTGGCGTCAGAAAGGGAAGTGCAGATCTTTGACTCAAAAGGGAAATGAAGTGGGTTACTGGTCAACAAATAAATCTGGAGTTGTTCCTCTATCTCACCACCAAAGCAGCCTGCCCCGTAATGAGAAGCCTTCTGAAGGGTGAAGGAGGCAAATCTGGGTGAGCTGAGAAGGGCTGGGGCACCGCCCCCACGGGGTCTTGTCCCAGCCCAGCTGAGGACCCTCCAGAAAATGTTCCCAAAAAGCAGCTCAGCTGACGCCACTCTTCGTTTCACCATGCAAACAGATATGAACGACTTGTCCCCAGAGACAGAAAATGTCACGTTTCATGAAGACAGATGTATCCACAGAGATCATAAAATGTTCCTTTATTTTAAGGAAAGGAAGGGGATTTTTTTCCTCTTTTGTTTTACTTGACTTTCACTTTTTTTTTTTTTTTAATATCGAGAAGATGAAAGGAATTACGGTCCCATCCCTAAAGTGCTTCGGGCACAAAACTTCCCTGGGAATCAGCTCTTTTATGGGGATCCCGGGATTCAAGCCACAGATCAGCACTAATGCTCTGAATTTGCTTCTAGGGTTTAAAAAAAATAATAATTAAATAGTTGAAAAATATAAATCTATGAATCCAGAACGGGACTGTTGCTGTGCAGAGGGGAATATTGCAGCTTCGCGATTCACTGCCATCTTGTGATATTTAATGTTTTCCTAAAAGGATCAACACACGCCATCAATTAAAAAAAGAACCCCAAACAACCAAAAAAACCAACCCAAATCTGTTCCTAGTATCCATAGTGACAGAGAAAACCTGGAAACCATGAGGCTGATGGGCTCTAAAACTCATATCACAAACAAATAAAATGAAAAGTTGCAACACTTGTTGCTTTTACATTTTTATAAGCTGTAAACGCTTCACATTGACTATATTCTGTCATTGAAAAAGAAGCGGGAGTTTTCCTTGTTTAGATCTTGCCTTGTGTGATATGAAGACAAGGTTTTCAATCTAATTTTTTTTTTTTTGGCCTTTGCCTTTGGGTGGAATGGCAAAATTAGGACAAGCTTGCTCAAATGAGCTAGTAATTATTATTATTATTCCTTCTGTGTACAACCAGAGTACCTGGGAGCTCTTGTGCTAGTTCAGAGGAAAAACCACGGTGATAAATGCTGCATAACGCATGGGTGAAGTTTAACAGAAAATTGGGATTTTTTTTTTTTTTTACTATTTTAAAGCCAAATAATAGGGGGATGTTCCAGCTTTTTAAAAATGATAAAAGTAGATTGGACAAAGCAACGGGAAGGAAAATATCAAAACCATCCTGCCTCTAACACAGAGGGGTAGCGGGAGTAGGTGTCCTTGCCCAAAGCTAATTTCTATGAGGGATTTGCATACGGATCATCCCAGGTAGGGATGAGCTGAGCCCCGTACCGGGTCTGAGTTGTGAGCTACGAACAGCTAACGCTTACTTGCCAAAATATCTATGAGCAACTTTGCTATGTCTTCACATTTTTATAACAGTCGATACTCCAAGAAAGCGGTCACTGGAGAGCTTTTAAATTTTTAGGAATCCTGAACACCCAAAATCTACAGTGCATCCCAGTATTTTACTGCCCTGTATTTTACCGCTACGTGTGCCAGACGTGACAGAAGGGACCACGCCGACTCAGATGAACCTGGGGTTTGTGCTTGACCCCCGTACAATTTTCCAAAACCACGTGGGGAGGATGGGTGCTCTGGACGAGTCAGGCAAATCTTGTCTCGTGGTTCCCTGCAATGGAGGGTCAGGACGGTTTTAAACAGGGGGAAGGAGAGGAAGAGGAGAGGAAGAGGAGCCCAGGTGCTGATGGACCATTCCACCTCTCCACCAGCATCCTCAGCCTCCATCCTCACCCAGGACCTTGGGGACGTGAAATGTGAGCAATCAGAAGATTTATGAATTCTGTCAGTGAAATAATTCTGGGGGACATAGCCCTTAACTTCTTCATCCTCCACTTCCACAGAAAAACCCCATGAACACAGATTTAACCAGCAGCACAGGTTTGAATCGTTTCATCTATAAACCACACAAATGGCCTGAAGTATTTGTACCTGAGGTTTTAAACTGTCTTCTGGGATTTTGTAAGCGGATTCCCAGAAAATAACGCTCTTTAATAGAAAAATCAGTTACCATTTAATAGTTGTGGCCATTCCCCAGGGCAAAGGGCTGAGCAGGACCTGTGGGTCAGAGCACCAGCCCCCGCTTGTCCATACCTCCTGCGGGCAGTCTGGAAAACCTCAACAAGTGAAACAATTTCCTCAAGGCAGAGCACAGTTTGCTTCCGTGTAAGTTTTCAGAAGAATTACAAGCCTGTGGGTGCTTTTTGTTACCTAGATTTTCCCCCGGCCTCTCAGTTCACATGCAGTGAGGATTGCAAAGCACCCCACAACAATCAGGGTGAAACAAGTTTCTCCTGAACGCTGAAATGATGCAGTTGGGTGCGGAGAACAGGAACGGAAATGGTGGAAGAGGACAATGGATGGAGCAGCCGCTGGCACAGCTACGCGGTCACATTCTATCCACGCCGACATTACACCTGAGACTACAACACGGCCAAGCCAGATGATGTTAGCTGTTCTGAAGACCATCACCAGACCTGTGCTCCTGTTTCCACACAACTCCACGACCTTAGGAACAGCCCAGCCAGGGTTCAGGTCCAACACACAATATTGGGAATCCCCAGTAGGGAATCATGGATAAAGGCAAACCCCTGCGGTAGGCATGAGCCCGGTACCACGAGGGACCCGCAGGTCAAATCTAGTCTCCCGCAAGAGATGACGTACAAACTTTGCCGAGCGACCCACAGCCCACACGGAAGGGCTGGGTCTGGCCACTGCCTGCCTCACCTGCTTCACTTCCCACGGAAACTCCTCCAGAGAGGAGCTTTGGCACGCAGCACTTCCGAGGCGCCTGTTACTGTTGGAGCCCTCCAACGGACATGAACTTGGCTCGTAATAAATACTTCGCTATCACGTTCTCCTGCCTAGCGCCTCCTTTCATCTGCAGCTTTTATCTGTCTTTCTGCAACCTGTCAACAAATCACAAACAACCCGTCTGGCTCTGGCACAGCCCTGTGAAACTCCCATGAAATGGTTTGAGTTATTGCTGTGTTTCAAGACACAAATCTTGTCCGAACAAAGATAGAGAGGTGTGTAAAAGGGTTTGCACGCACCCTTCTCGACAGATGGCTGGCCCGTGCTAAAGTACAGGGCAGTTTTGTTGGTGCGGTTGTACTAACAGAGCAGAAGCAAGCTCGCCGCTGCACAGTGAATGTGGTGGTTTTGGTTAGAGTCACAGCCATTGAGTGTACTTTGGAGTGAATTCAGTGGATTTCATGGAATACTTCTGGTCTTTGGCACACTGGAAGCTATGGCATTGCTGGCTGGCTCCTTTACCTCATAAAATCCTTCAACACATTAAAAAAAATTATCTCAAATTACAAATCTCTGCAATTCTTTCAAAATTGTTTATTTCATTACAAGAATAGTTTTAAACAGATCAAAAAAATCATGGCAAAAATCAAATTTTGAATAATTAGGAAACGTTACAAGCCTCAAATCTCAAGTAATCTCTCTCTGCTGGTTAATGACGTACCGATCTTTCACATCAAGGCAAGGTGCTGCACTGTACCCAGCACTCCTGCAGAATCTCACATTCGGCAGAAGTGCAGAGATTAAAAAGGAAATATGCTTCCTTCCATTGTTTCACTGCTACCTCATCTCACTGATAACACAGCTTTTAGTCTACTCAGGTTATCCCTAAGGTTGGCAGAGACACAACCAGCCCCTCTTGCCCTCCCCAATTACTGTATATCCACATAGATTCTGTTGATTTCAAAAAGGAGAATTAACAAAGCATCAATTAGGCTATTAAAAAATAAATATTCTTATGCAGGAAATACACTGACCCCTACAATTAATATATTAATAATCATTTACTTGTAACATTAATTGCATGACTCATAGCGCCTGAATTTTTTTCATTTAAAAATAACAAACCATCCAGAACACAAAGGCCACGGGGTGGGGGTGTCTGAGGCCTTCAGACACTGAGCTGGCTCTTGCTTCAAAGGATGAATCCTCAGAATCTGATTGGTATCAGTAGAATTGGCCCACACAATAAATGAGGCGAGTTAGCCTTTCCCTGGAGGTGTTTTTGTCTCTTGGCTACAGAAAAATAACACAGCTTGGCTGCGAGCAAACTTTGTACGTTATACAAACCAAGCAAAACATATTTATATAGCAAGTTCTCACATTTCTAGAGTTTCAGTATATATTTCAGTAAGAACAGAGACAGACTTGCAGTATTTTCTTTTTACTCTGTCCTTCCAATGTTGATACAGAAGAGAAAACCTGGCAGCCTCACCCCTATACCCCTGTCCTTCTGGGCTATGTATGTCATTGCCAAAAAGTTATACAGCTGCGGAAGTGCAGAGCAAGCCTGGAGGATTTTGAATACAATCAAACCCAAATATATTTGATACAGACATCAGAATCTGGAAACAATAAAACCAATAAAAACTTTGGGTACAGTCACACGAGACTGGCTGCCAATATAAAGTAACCATGTAAAAATTACTGATGTTCCTGGGGTACAGGTCCATCAGAGTGTTTTAGCCCTGAGTTCCTGGCTAGTCTCTGTTGTACAAAAGACTGTCCTATTTTATACCGGCTCTAATAGAATCAAAAGCCTAACTTTTGATCAAGTTTTGCAGGTGATGCTTAAAAAGAGCATCCTATCTTCAAGCATCGGATATGGACTAAAAGGGTTCTTGTTTGGTTTTAATTATGCGGTTTATTCAAACAAAGATTAAACTCCTGCTGTATTTTTCACACACCGCAATTTCATGCCACAGTTGGAGCAACAGCTCGGCTGTCAGGTTGGAGGTTGATGAGGGAATTGCTTGCTTGGGCCAGCTCTGCGATGGAGACTCGTCCTCTCTGTTTGATGTACTGAGCCACGGCAGCCATCTCCTCTGGAGTGATGTAGATGAACTTTCCTCTGTCATCAATCACACCTACAGGGGGAAAGAAAGGACCTTGAAGTCAGCACTTTGGCTCCCCTCACTTCCCGACAGACATCAGTCACTTCTTTTGGAAAGGATGTTCAAACTGCTGAGGCTGCATTTCATATCTAGGGCAGGCAGAACAACGTGCTAGCAGTCAGGCTTTTATCTCCTCTCCACTGTTGGGTCTTTGAGCAGGGCTATGACAATAGCCCAGTACCTTGGTGAGACTAATTTTGTTCAGAAAAACCCCGCAATCTTTTCATTGTACGCAGCTAGCCGGTAGTACCACAGCAGCTACTGCAGGTACATAGTGTCGGTGCTGATGTTCTGGGCTGGCAGAGGAAGGCAGAGCAGCAGGAGGGCCCAGGAGGTGATGCCATGGGGCCCAGCTCAGCCATCCCAACTTACCCTCCGAAAGGGAATGAAGCTCAGTTTCCATATTTCAGTTGCTCTATCAAGAGTGAGAATAGATCTCTCTGTTCTTAATGTGTTACAGGATCAAAAGCAAGGCAGAGAGCCTCCCTGGCATGCCTTTTAGACCACAGACACAGCCAGGACAGCACACATCCTTATGCTTTCATTCAGAGCGCTTTCAGGTCACTCGAATGGGTATCCACATGCACCCAAGACAGTTGTTTCCCAGCCATGACCGCAGTATCAGGTCAGTAAATGTTTGCATTGGCACCTTCCCCTACTTCAACCTTGGAAAGAAAAAGACTGCCCAGGAATAAAACAGACTTGTTCAGACAGGGAGCAACCCTCTGCTTACGTTCCAACTTTGATTGCGCAGCTGCATGGCTAGGACTTTGCTTACTAGAGCATCCTGGAGTGCTCTGGGATGTTTGCTTCTCCCATAGCGTGCCGTACCCCGGTCCTGGCTTTAGCCACAGCACCTTTAAAACAGGCTTGCAAACTCCCCCAGAACATCCGAGTGATCTTTTTCACACTCAGATTTCAGAAGCCTTCATTTGCAGCTGGCTGCTCAGCAATCCCTAAGGACCTTCGGCAGGGCTCAATCGACCTGTGGAACCTTGTGCTGGTTCCTGAACTGTTCGGAACATTCATCCCTCTCCTCTGTATAACGTATCGTAAGAGCAATCACATCCCATAGGGCTTTAAACAGTAGTTTTACCACAGCTGAAGCAAGGATAATAAAAACATCTATTTATTAAGTCCTGCTAGAAACCCTCTAAAGTTTAAAACAGAAGTTACACTGGAAGTCTCTCTCTAGTTAAGACATTTTCTGCACCATCTATTCACCGGCTAAAATAAAGTCCCCTTTGTGTTTTAGCTGTCACCTGTTAGAGTGCCATCTGCCATCAGGTCCTGGATTCTGTTAATTGCATCCTGTTTGAAAGCAAAAAAGGAATAATAAACTGATCAAGAGGGAGGCAAAGAACATTTCACGTGTTCAGATAAACTACAGATGGAGGCTTACGTTTAATTCCTCAGCATTCAAGACTTCAGCAAAGGATACACTTCAGTATTTACACAGACAGATGCAATAAGCCCTATGGTCTTAGAAGGATGAAGTAAACTTCTGCATTTTGGGGTGTTCAACTAACTTCCCTATCCCCAAAAGAGACTGTAATTGCTAAGTTACGTGGCTGTTTCAAGGAATGGTGGGTGGCTGCAGAAGTCTTCCCAGGGAAAGGCTGTATAGTGCCAATGCAGCATGCAAGTTCCATGAAGTACACTAAGGTACTTCTCCAAGAACCTGGCTACACTCTATTATTACATTCCAGAGCTTTTTATATTTTTTCCAGTTCCGTTTAAGAGGAAACCTCTTTTACCAATCCAAAGCAACAACTTGTTGAATTTATTGCTGGGTTAACTCTAGAGTTACTCCAGGCATGCAGTTCCAGTACGCCTTAAGCTAGTATCGAAGTCTTGTTTTCCACAGTTCTGCCTCTCTCCCTTTCTTGTATTTATATGACTGCAGAAGCAAATAATAGTTCAGGTTTCAACTAGATAAATTCCCTTAACTGACTCACTGCATGCTTAAATGAAGTTCTGGTTTAAGACAGAGGCAGGGGGACAGCAACCTGGACTTCGAGCAGTGTAAGCTGCTCTGAAGGGACACCCCAAGATCACATTAGGTACAGAACAACAGAAGACACTGGTCACTTCAAAAAATATGCCAAATGTGCTCAAATTAAAATAAACCAAGCCATGACTATTCTTCAGAGTCAAAATATATAATGTTTAGAGAACAGGAAAAGGACAAAAGAGGGAAAAAAAACCCCAATACAGATATCACACCATGAGCTCACTTTGACAGGCTTATATGGTGCTAAGAGGAACAATTCTCTTAAGTAATGCACTGGAAGATATAAATTCCTAAATGTTCTAAGAATACACAAGCAATTGGAGCAAAACACCTCATCTCTTGATTGTCTGCAAACATAACAGCACTGTCCAATTACACAGGCAGTGTCTGAGTTTGCTTCTAGCTCTGATTTTGATTCCCAAGTACCCTGAATTGCTCTATCACTAGATTTGCAAACGCTATAAGATCCATCAGCCAACAAGCAGCTGTGCGAGAGGCAGACTGAGCACTTTTCACTGAAACAATCTTGCAAGCCAAAAACCCTTCACTGGCTGGCTGGCGCTTTGATGAATGGCCACATTTCTAGGGCTGATTTTGCTGACCTTCACCAAAATACAAGCATTTTCGGTAATGCAGAGACACTTGCATAGATGTTACCCTTATTTACTCACTTTCTTTCCTGTCATTTTAAACTCATTTCTTAAGTTAGTACTTACTTGTGTTCTTAAACCCAAATGTGAAGCCAAGTCCTCCAGCTGGATTACCTTTGTTTTCTATGGAAACAAACAAGAGTTACATGCAGTTGATGAATTAGAGAGCCCGTTTCTTTATCTTTCAAACAAAAAATGCATTTAATAGACAAAGTAGAACTTGTCATTCTACCTAACTTTTCCTAGTAAGCACTTTCCTCTGCTGAAAAACTCAAATTTAAGTTACTTAAACCAGTTTGCTCTGTGGAAAGACTGAATGCTCTGACTCACTTAAGTGAAGGCTCAAAGACATTTGTCAGCATTCATCCTAAACTTTTCTTATGTTAGGAGAACAGGATGAACACAGGCACAATAAACAGCCACAGCTCTGCTCTCCCTGCCACCTGAGTTTCTCGACTGCTACCTCTAATTTCCAGTATGCTTTAGCAAGATCCCTTTTTGTTTGAGAGATGTTTCAAACTACCTTTTAAAATGATCACTGGTATATAGCAGCACATACATAAAAATCCAGACAAGACCGGCAGCATTAGACGCTTTAGTCTGTTTTACTAATGTCAGGTGTATTCATGCCATAATAATCTTCCTTAAGCAAATGAATACCTTATTAAAATTGTCAGTGTTGGGAGAGTACTGCTCGCGTGCTCTGGCACAGGCTGCACGATGATCTCTGAGAACAACGGCAGAAGCAGGAACTGCAAATTTTCATTTTGCTTTTGACAGAGACTCTTACTGCAGCCTTTCCCAGTCAGGATGCAGTCACCACTGCTCACAGGTGGTTTTATGCTTCTCTGTAGCTCCAGAGAATTACAGAGAAAACACCTGGTGCACTAGTCTGGAGCTACTTGGTTCCTGTTTTCTTATTTGCAAAAGTTTCAGAAAATCATCTCTTTAGATGCAGTAAAAGGATGCACTGTTTATAAGGAGCTTGGAAAATAAAAAAACTTCTGAAAACTGTTCAGTTAACGTTCTGGACTATATTCCTAAGAGCCATATATGTATGGCCACAAGAGCTACATTTACATTATCAGATGCAATGCTTCAAATGATAAATGCATTTGTTTCTGATCTTGAGAGTACACTGGGAGGACACTGAAGAAATAAAGAGAAGCTGAAATAGATGAATCTTTTTCATTAATAAAAATCAGACAAAAAAAAAAAAGCCACGCACATACTTAGTAGTTGTGAAGTCTGATGCAGCCAAGCTAGAGAACTGAATACCATGGACTGAACACATGGAATTGGAACCAGTCCATGGAATTCAGTTCTCAGAGCTGGGAACTGCCAAGATTCGTCACATCTTCTTTTAAAAGGATGGGGAGGGGTGTGTGTGCAAAGCCACATTAACAAGAAAAACAGGATTTAAACCTTCACTTAAAGATATTCACCCTCAATGACCATATTTACTGGGAGCTTTTCAAGCTAGATCCTGCTGTGAATGAGAGCCCAGAGGGTGGGGTAGAATTAGGATGTGCTCCCCACACACTGAAATATAATGACATGGTCCCAAGCCAGCAAAACACTTCACTCCAAAACGCAAAAAACGCTTCTGTTTTAGAGACAGGCTTAACTTTCATAGAGCAACATATACACATCTACACTTTACAGAATTCATTTAATTTTAGGTACGATTCTGCTGCGGTCCTCAACAACGGATGAAACAGAGCAAGAGCTCCCAGGATTAAGATGAGTAGCACTTTTTTTTCTTATCTCGTGTCATTTTTCTTCCAGAAAAAACAGGAAGGGGTAAAGCCTCCGAGTCCTTCGTTATCCCTTTCAAATATACTTTGCCATATCAATTCACTGACTGTAATTCAGATGCATTCAATGATATACTGTCAAGCCGGGTGAGAACAGTGTGATGGACAAGTGCAGGCTCATATTTCCCTGGGCTGCGGGAGCTAGTGCTGCACAGCAAGGGAACTGCTCAGCCACTCTTTAATCTCCGCCCACTTCATTATTAATTATCTTCTGAAGTGCTCAGAGAGCCCCAGAGCTGGTTTGTAAGGTGTGTCATGCATGTGCAGCACTGCTAAGTAAAATGATAAGGTTCCCATTAACAAATTGGTTATTATGCCCCTCAGACCAGAGCAGTAAGGTCTGCAACTCGAGGACTGGCCACCGTAACAAGCAAACACACAGGAAGGCAACTGCAGCAGAGACAATGCCACAGCCCAAGATATAATGTGGTGAATCTGCAGCAGGTAGGTTAAAGGAAGGGAGATGCTCAGCTTTCAGAAAAGCAGAACTGGGGGGGCGTCAATTCTTTTGGTGCCTTTAAGAAAAATCCCATTTAAAATGATCCTATGAGGCAGAGCTGGAGAAAAGAACCTGCATTTATTTCATTTCAAACATCCTGTGGAATGAAGCATGGGGTGAGCTATCTCCAGTCGGTTATACCAGTAAAATAAGTTATTCAACAGAAGAGCTAAATTAAATTTTATTTTTTTAAAAATGCCAATTGCTCTTTTAATTTATACATTTTTCAGACAGCTACTAGCAGCTTAGCACTGCTTCTTGATACAAGTCAGTGGTTTCTGTGAATAGAACAGAAGATGAGGGCAATACATAATCTATATATTAAGCATACTTTCAAGATTAAAAAAAAGAAAAAACAACAAACCAAAACCCTAGAACTTGTAAAAGAAAGCAATGCCGCAGTTCTGCAACTCATTTCTACAGAGGAAAGCAGGTGTCAAAGCGCTTCTGAATTAGGTGTTCAGCCGGTGCTTAATTTCTCTGACGTCAAGTAGAAGTGACTAATATAAAACTATGCACATGTGCTTAAACACTAAACCGAGAGTTTGTGACTAATCTGTTCCATCCATCACAACCACCAGGGCAACGTGCAGAATCAGATCCTAATGTGTTATCCCTTGGAAACCCTCCTAGTGGAAGATCCCAAGGGACACTGAAATATCCTATTGCTCTACCTACTGTAATCCTAGGGCAGCTTGTTTATCCATAAAGAACCCATTTTCCTTAACCCACCACTTGGCAGTACCTTGAAAGCCTTAGATGGGAACGGGTCAACTGGCATCACACCGTACCACGTAAGGTGGTCTTAACAGACATGGCCATTTCGAAGTTCCCCTCCCTTTCAAATGAAATCTCCTTGGCTTCTGTGGAAAACTAAATATTGAAAAGGCCGCACGGCTGCAAAATGAAACGTGCCATCTGATGGTTCATCATTGCTCCATGGTTTTACTTAGGCTCTTTAAACATGTCACCCATAGCTTTTCCAATCTATTCTCAGCTGTCTCAGCCACTTTTGGCAGTGCTTCTGATGAGAGTTGACTGGCTTATGCTGGGGACTTGGTTACTGAACAGGGGCTATTTGCATTTAGGCTGCAGCAAGGAAGGTAAGTCCTAACTCTGAGTGCTACTAGCTTACGCATTTCCAAATTACCCCCAGATACCACACAGATCAGAAAACCCTTGGCAGATGCAAACTGAGCAGCCTCTCTCCCTGTGGCCTGACAGCAATAAAATACACCACCGCAAGTCCCAGCAACGCCAGAGACAGAAAGCAGCACAGCAAAAGATGCTCACCCCACAGCTTTGCGGTGACTTGAGAAAGATCGAGCCATTGTTCAGGCTTGCGTGGCAATAATTCAAATTGAGTCCTTGCGTTGAGCTACCCATGAGACAAATCTGTTTGTAAATCTGGGTTTTTTGCTAGAGTAATGGACATGCAAAACTGGCCCAGAGTCCCGAGATTCTGGATTAACAAACTGATTAGGACGCCACTAAGCGTACAAGTGATTTGCTTACTAATGAAGCCTTTCACACAGATGCCATACATTATCAGATAAAAATCCAGTTTCCAGTACAGGAAGAAAGGGATTAATTAGGTCAAAAGATTTGCATAACATTGTTAGACTAAGGGTAGAAAAAATGTATTTGACCTTTGATATACCAACAGTGGAGAAAGAAGCATTTGCCCTTACATATCAAAAGTGGAAAACCTCCTAAACACACCACAGGTTTTAAATAACCAACCATACAGTATCATGAAAGGGAGACTAACACACCCTGTTAAAAACAAGTGATCTTCTTAAATATCCCTTCCAAACATTAAGACAACATTGCAAATTGCATGGATAAAAACAAAAAAAGTGTTTCAGACACAAACACATCCTGCACGGCTGGTACGGCAATTCTCATTCATGCCAAGCTGAGACGCAGAGACTGTTTTCTAAATCGGTAGCTGATGTTCACAAACAAAAAACCTGAATGTCCCAAATCCCAATCAACAGCAAACACTGCTGTTCAGAAACTCTGAGGGTGATCCACCAGGCGCAGAGTTCATAACGTCAATCCGCATGAAAGAAGGTAAGAGCTACAATCCTGCCCCAAAAAGCCAAGACACAGCTATAATTACAAACCATTTTAACAATGATGTACATGCTCATGCACGGTTAAGTAAATAATGCAGACTAAGGTATGACTTCTGTTACTTGTTGAATATTTAAGTAAATCAAAGAGGAAGTAAAGATTTCCCTTCTTTCTGAAGCTTAGCTCTTTGTCAAAGATACTTTTCACAATCTAACAAGTAAGGAAGGAAGAGAAAGACCACTTACCTTAACATATTCCAGAAATTCCATTAGAAAGCTGCGGGACTGCATACAGCAAAGAAAACAATTGTTATTTTAAACTCCTGAACATTAAATGCATCACAAACTTGCTGAGTACAAATATTATAAAAGTGTTTAGCTTGCATACTTCTGAAGTTTTAAACATATACACTGAGGGAGATTTTGAACTGGAAAAAAATACATACAGTTTTATTCTTAAGTAGGAATTTATGATAAGCATTTTCTAAGACAGAATATGGCTCAAGTAGAATTTATGTTTAAGTGTGTTCTGAAAGGAAATCTTTGAATCTTTTATTCTTCACATCATACATACCCTGAAATAACCACATCTGGGTGAATTTGTGCATTAAGTTACACGTACACACCGAGAACATTTTGTTCAGAGGTAAAGTACAGAGTGATTCAGGAGAGAGCTCATGCAGATGGTCAAGTGTAGCACACAGCTGCGCAACACATGTGGAAGTTCAAGCCGTTTTCAAAGCTATGCACCTGAAATCCGGCATTTTAATACAAGCAGCTCAATTTTCAAAGGCAATGCAAATATGCATTTAAGGTAACAGGAGATCAAGTTACTCTGCAACCCTAGAAATCAATCAGCCTTAATTAACTGCTTAGCTCTGGACTCAAGACTGTAATTTTCAGCATGGGTTTCAGCACGCTAGCCTCAACAACACAAGGCAGAGTCAGCTATTGTAACAGGATACTAAATGCTTCAGTACATTACCCATCACGAGGCAGACGGGTGGCTTGCCGTTTCTGCAAGGCTGGTGTCTCCAAATAACCATGTACCTGTTACTGTTTCTGAAGATGACTTTCAAATCACCTACTGTTAAAGTTCTAATGCCCCACTCCTACCCAAGACAGCTTATGTTGAGATCCAGGCATCAACTGCCTGCCAACCTCTTTTGAGTGAGGAACACCCTTCTCTGTTCCCACATAAAGAAAGATTATTATTTTCTCCTTGTCAGGCAGCTGTAGGAACACAGACAATAAACATATTTGAGCTTTAAAGGGTGTCTAAAATGGAACAATTTAATATTTAGGGATAATACGACCTTCTCACAGGATAGGCAGACATTTTTGAAGGCACTTTCAATAGCAAGTATGCATTTCGCTGTTCTCTGCATCTTAGGAAGTTCCTCATCACCTTGGGAATGTAACGTTCCCCATGTTAATCCTGACATGATGGCGGAATTTATCTTAATGGGAAGGGGTCCATAGTGAGAACTTGTGACTAATGCCAAGCAGCGTTGACTCATTACAGGCTACTCAGCCCAAAGCTACTCTCAGTCACACTAAAGGCAAATCCATTCAACTCAACAGTGTCGCTTTAGCAGAGGAGAAAATGGCTTACATGGCCCTGAAAAAAATTGCTGTCATGAAATGCACCGGACAGCTCAAATTTGGCAGCTACAACCCAAGAGCAATTTCAGCATTTGATAGCAATTAAAATGAGTCTAACAGGTTTTCAGCAGACAGAAGAACACTGCCTCCCACAACAGTGGAACTTTTTCAAGTTTGCTGTGATATTATGTCAAGTATCACATTTCAACCACCATACCCAGCAGTACGTCTGCAGGCAGCCACAGGAGGAGCATGCTGGAACCTTATGCACAAGTTTGAAACACTATCAACCACAGCAATCATTTGCAACACTGAATGCACAGTTTTCCAGCATACAACCCACCAGCACCTAGGTTGTGTCCGGTGAATTTTCTTAACAGAAGCCTTTTAAGACAAAAGCTTGTTTTTTTCATTTGATTTCACAGCAGCTCCATCAGTCTAGAAAATAAAACCAAAACCAAGCAATTCCTCTCAAGATATGTGGGCACCAAACTCTGTATTTAGCCTTGCTTTTATCTGGCCCACTGTATATGGGCAGGGCAGAGCTAACGACAGTAGAAGAGTATCTGACTTCCAGGATGAGTTTTATTTCAGTCCTTACATTAAAGGAGGAGAGAACTCATTTCCAGCGATATGCATTTGCCTTAGTACTCTAAACTAATTTTAGAAGTCTGGAACAAGGGACTGTAGCATTCCCTAAGAAATACTCCAGGTTAACGTGTGCCATATACACAATTTAGCTTCTACAAGCAAAAACATTTGCCTGACTCCTACTTTCAAGTTCATTTTACATGAGACAGAATGCAGTAAGGGCAACCTGAGTATAACAAAGACAAAAGAAACTGCAATAACAGCCTAACATACGTACCTCTTCCTCTGTCATTGATTCTTCAACTCCTTCCTCTTCAACTACAAAACTCTCCTTCAGCTTCAAGTATTCTTCATACTCTCTCTTCTCCTCTTCTTCCTTTGCCTTCCTTTTTTCCTCTTCCTGGACAGAAAAGATGACAAGTGGTCAGTTTGCTCCTCCCTAAATCACTAAACTAAACTAAGGTTTAGTTTTAAGTAAAGCAGCATCTTCTTTATCTGCAGTCCGGTTTTACTAGGACAGACAGCAGATAAAAGTTTCTAAAATTAGTCTAAGTTCTCCCTTAATGGCATCATTAATTTCACAAGCCACCCTTAAGGTAGTAACCATCTCACATGGTAGTGTAAGCTCGCACACAGTACACCTAGCCTGGTTCTTAACAGATCTGACATGGGAGAAACCCCCTCTTATATAGCAACCTGCTTTCTTAATTTGCATGAATATGTTTCTTCTGCAGATCCCATGACAGGAAGTCCCTGCCCCTAGCTGTACTTGATGCAACATCCACACTGTCAGCAACTGGCCCCAATTCTGCTCTGACAGGCACTAGCGTGCATTGGGAGCGAGCACAAAGAAGAGCGAAGTTAAACTGGTGTTCATCTGTCTGTGAGAAAAAGCTAGCCTGTAAGAGTTTCAAGTAAAATCTCTTTCTTATGACATACAAGCAAACTATGTCTACATGGAATGTAAAGAACTGTATAAAGTATTTTAGGCATAAGAGACAAGATATGATTGTATTAACAAAAAGGGTTTTTTACATGTTTGATTGTTAATCAAAACCCACAGGCTCTGCTTTTAGTTATCTGCAATAAAAATAGTTTCAGTTACCTGCCCTGAAAGAAATGTTAAAGTCTTAAAAAAACCCCAAAATAACACTGGCCCAGAAAACTCCAATCCCGACATCAGTGAAATGGTGATGTATACTAGGTAATGTAGAATAGTCACACATTCACACAGCAACGCTGTGATTAAAAGTTTTGAAATGTGATAGATCACTTAAATGTTTCAAGTAAGAACAGGTTTTTACTGGGACCTCAGCAATTTGCAGCTTTCCATGATTTTCTTTTAAAATTTGTTTTGCTCTTCTTCAAAAAACTTTATACATCTAACTTCACACAGAAGAAAAAATGTTTCCTGACACAATGGTTTCTTCTGCAGAGAAATTTATGTTTGTACAGCACCTGGTACAACAAGATTCCAATTTGAGTGGCCTCTGGTTGCTATCACATTGCAAAGGCTTGATTAAAACTTAGAAAGAAGAATTCTTCAAATTTCAATAACAATCTCTAGGCATTCCTTTACTATTAGCACAGGAATTGATCTCTTAAAGCACAATTACATTGATTTCTAAATGCTTGCCTGCTACATTTTTGACACTAATATGGTAATTGCTTCCTTAAATGGCTGGAAAGCAAACACTTGCTCCATTAAAACAGAAAGAGACAGGAATAGGTAATTAAGTATATTGAAAAATGTCCATATTAAAATAGATGCCATGTAAGGCCAAAACCAGCAAGATACCAGAAATAGGGATGGGAGGGTTGCCCTTCAGTAAAAACCAAAGAGAAAGTATATTTCGTCCCAACTGTGTTTAATCAAACTCCGAGAAAGTCATGAGAAGCAATGCTACCAACATACAAGAAAAACAGGACCAAAAGGATCTTACCGTATGTGCAAAGTCAAAACCATTTCTTTAACTGCTATGTCATGAAAGACAGATTGGAGGAAGTTCTTGAGACAAAACAAGACAATTTTCTGGGTCATTCATCACTGTAACGATTATTAGCTAAAGCCCAACAGTAGATTTTTTTCCTTATAAGCACTACAGGTGCCAAGAACAACATAACCATATTTCATTTGGAAGTGACAGCAATTGTTCTTTTCTTGTAAGTGCATTAAATTTAATTTTGCTTCTGGAAATACAAGAATAAGGTCCTTCCCCAGGTCTATTACAGAGCTTGTAATTCAACAGGATTTGAAATGAGAAAAAAAAATAATCACAAAACCTGAAAATTGCTTTGGCAAATTTCTAGATGATTCTACAAAAAAAATAATCAGAAGACAGTGTTCCATTTACAACTGAGAGCAACAATAAGTAAGAAATATTTTCCTGTTTCTGGAAAGTCTAACAACAAATGAACAAGACTCATTCCTGTCTTCCTTATCTTTCTTACCTACTTGCAGAACAGTAACTTCTATTTTATCAAAGCATACCAGCACGTTACTATCAGTACTTCCACTTCCAACACATACAGAAGAGCATCCCTGCTGTTAGACTGGCAAAACACTCAGCTCCCAATCCCTAAAAGCCAACGTGAGTTTGTTTTCCAGATCCTAAATTCTGATGCTACAATCAGCAGAGCATTTCCAGGTGGTCTGAGCCACTGCTTTGGTAGCTAAAGCTTGTCAGCCCTCAAAGCCTCATGTTTCCTGATAGTTGTAGCCTCCTCCAAGTATCTCCAGCAGCTTGTTCATCTAAAAATCCCAGCCACTTCCTGCACAGTCTCACGTGCTTTACCACCTAGATTCATCTATGATTCAATCTGTTGAAAAGAAGGATTTAGCCAAACTGTAAACTGGTTCAAATCCAAGAGGAGAGATGACTTTGCATAACTGCACTGTGAGAAGCAACCAGCAACAGCAGTGGAAGATGAGCAGGGGGAACCCTAGCAAAGACAGGGCTGTCTGTTAACACTTATTCTCACCTATTTTTTTTCCACCATCATGCTAGTAATCTTCTTTGACATGCCCAAGTCATGCAACAGTTGCAGGTTGGTGCAGGGTCAAATTGAGGCAGATTGCATTCCCACAAAAACCAGTTTGCCTGTATGCATAACCCACACAAGGAAACACTCGCAGCACCCCAGGGTCTACTAATGAAAGAGAGCCCAGCACTTGCTTCATGCAAGTCATATAAGGGGCACCCAGCTCAAATATAAATTTAAAAACCCCACATCTTTGTTTGTTAGGTTTCTTCTGATCTCATTAACTGCTGTGGAGTTAAGTGGTAAAGCATGTGGCTCAGAGGAGAGATAATAGCTGGGCCACCTCCCTTCAGCGATGGGTGGGGTGGCGGGGAAATCCCAGCATCATGGAAATTTGGTAACTGCAGATGCTCACCTTCAGCTGCTTGCTTTTTTTTTTTTTTTTTTTTTTTTGAAGCAGGTTTGCTTCTCTCCTCACCCATCTAAATGTGACCCAACCTGGGGGCTTGCTACAGTGTAAAGATTTCTTTTTGATCCATTTACTATATTGCATGTGAAGAACAAACTCTCCCACTCTGATCATGTCTTTATTGGAAAACATACTAATAAAAAATAATCACTCAAACTTTTCTTCCTTCTCTCTTTTTCTGACAAAATGTCCACATTATCACTGCTAGATCGACTCTACCTCTGCATGCTTGCTCTGAGTCTCATGTGCCACCTTGCATAAGCAGAGACCCAAGAGCTTCCAGAAGTCCGTGCAGTCTGTGGATCTCCAGTGCTCTGGGAGACACTTTACAACACCATTTCCCCTTCCTATATCAGATCTGGTCAGCACCAACTTCCCACTGCACCCAGTCCCAGACCTTCCACTGCTCTCCAGGCTCCCTCTGTCCCACCTGCCCACCAAGGATTTGCTGTGAGGCTCTTTTCAGATCATTCCTTTTTGTTTGCCTCTTACCTTGACTGTTTTGATGGCATCAAAAACATTAATTGTGCCAACTGCACAAGAGCCCAATTTTTTAGCAGGTGAAACCCATAGTGACTTGAAAACTCTTTTAGCCTTCAGCTGGAAGCAGACCTTGACTCTTGGGATCATAAATCCCTCTGGAGTCCTGGGATGCTGCTTGAGTAACTGCACTGTTCTGGCTGGTTGACAGATTACAGCCTTTGAAGGTTTATCATGTGCTACTATTTTTAGCAAAGGGTGAGGACCCTTACAGTACTGTCCAGCAAGAAGCCATTGAAACACCATTTCTAGCTTTCGATGCAGTAACCCATTTAAGGTGACACTGAGACCAAGGGATATGGGCATATAGAGTAAGTAGCTTTCCTGAGAGCTTTGCCTAAGCAGCTTTCCCTGAGAGGAAACTGCTAGTTGTCCAAATCAGATAAAAGACCAACTTGCTGACAAACAAATCATTTATAGGCAGCTTATTCGACTGCAAAGTCGAAGAGATCTCATTGCTAGTGAGGAAGGTAGAGCAAACACTGGACTCTCCTCACCCACCACCCGCTTTCAGTCGTTCCCTGTTCGTGGCTGTTTCCTTAACATGCAGAATGAGGAAAAGCATACTGCTTCCTATGCCAAATACTTTGAGGTTCATGGGCCAAAGAAACCCTCCTTGTATAACATTCAGTTTTCGTGCTCTTAATGTAGGATCTGCAGGAAGTGAAAAGGGACTCTACAAGTAAATAATTTGGCGTAGAACAAATGGATCTCTAGGATTCCTGCCCCCCCCCCCCGTTTAGACACAAAATAAAAAACCCAAACAACAAAAAAACCCATTTAGAAAGTCAGAGTAAGTGTTCTTACCAGTCCTCATCCCTTCAAAATCAGAGTAGAATGAGCTTTCTGCAAGCTTTTCAACTTGTACTTCCTTAGGAGAAATTAATTTTCAGGAAAGCGTACACACTTGAAAACTGATGCTTAAACTGAAACTACATAGCAGTCTCCTCAGCCTCCAGAAATGCACTGTTTATGCATGAATAGTGGAGATAAATGCCAAACAGATAATGAAAAGCTCTGCCGAGAGGCACGCAAATCTCGATGTTCACATAATGCTAGACATAATAAAATAACTCAACAATCAACATTTTAAGACTTGGTGCCTATTCTTACATGATCAAATATCAAATCAAAGACCTGAAACTTTAGGGTCTTAGTTCCCTTAGATCCCCTGTGATCACTAGCTGATCCTCCATTTCTATAGCTCTGATGATCCAGACCATTTTTATTTAGGTATATTTATTTATGCAAAACTGAAAGCCTAAATGAACTTGCTCTAGTTTGGAAACTTTGGGCACAGCTAAGCTTGAGCAATACAGATCTCGTTTGAATGTAACGGCGAACAAACACCAATCCCCACTCCTGCTGTGGCCTTTTATTTCACAGCCGTTAAAAGCTTGTTCGCTGGAAGACTGGTAGTTTTTCTCCTGTATCAAGGTATGTTTCGAGAGCAGTCCACTCTGCAATGGATTTGCAGGCAACACGCCCTATTCAACACAACATTTTAATATAGAAGGGTGATGACTGTGAGCCCTGCATCTGCACAAGCAGTTTCCTTAGCACAGCAAAGCTAGGCTGACGGAGTAAAATCTACAAAAATCCCTGTGCACAGGAAAAAAAAAAAAAAAGTTCTTGTGCGAGCAACCTGCAAGGCTTTGTATGAAGACACTGTTTTGCAACATCAGAGGAAGTTCGCTCTCATTGATAAGGTGGCGGTTGGTAAACCATCTCACCACTAAAAAACTCCAAGAGTGAAAGGGAAATCCCCAGGGTAAAGCAGAGCTGAAGCAAATGCCAATTATAAAGGAGCTTCCTCACATGCATAGCCAATCAGGTCATCAGAACACTGGAAAGGAAACTTGAATTTAAAAATATATTCGCTGGTTTGCAACACTGGAGCCAAGGGGCAACCACATTTTATTTATATGTGCATACAAATGTATTTAAATAGAACCAGGGGGGTATTTTTCTCAAGAATATGCAAGATTTTAGCCCCCATAATTCCCTTGAAGGCCCCGTTCCCACTTGTAGCACAGCACTGCGTAGAATTGCCCAAAAATAATTGGAGTTATCAGTTTGCCTATATAACAAAGTGGGTTTTCATCTGATTCAAGAATTCATTATTTCCACTAGACTCCATATCTCAAACTATTTGAGTGGGGTGTGTGTATGAAAGGGTTAACAGTCCTGGTGACTTTATCAAAGATCAACACAGGGGAATTTCTAGAAGATCTGCACGCTGCAACATGATTTTCTATCCTCCTGAATCTATTTGGCTTCCCTCATCATCTGACAAAATTTTAGATGGTATTTAGTCGCTCAGGAATCACCCATTGCAGTTGACTAGGATTCAGTTATTAGTTTAAGGCTTTGCTGAAACGCTGAAAGGAAACTCCTTTACACAAAACCAATCTCAACGGTCACAGAAGTTAGCACAATTTTGGTAGCACTTCTTGGGAGAGAGATTGATAAAAAGGTTCAACTGAAATTTAGCTAACAAAGGTGGTTGCATTTGTTTGGAGACCAACTGCTCATCATTTAAGCTCCCTTGTAAACACACTAACTAAATTTATTATTTGCAATTAAATTAAATAAAGCATAACCACCCAATTTATGAGGTCAAATCTTTGAATGTGCTGTAAGTGAAACAATAAACAATTCACGCAGTTATGTCACTACTTTTCCTGCAGGCAGTAAGCCTTCATCAGTGGTCTTAAGACCTTCCCTGTACTGCAGAAGACAGACATAAAAAACTATCAGACTTGCCACTGTCACTATACCTGCAGAAATACTCTGATGTACTGGAAAAGGAAGGGGGAAAAAAAAAAAAGAAGCTATCTGACAACTGTAACATTTCTCAGAAAACCTTTAGTGATAAACTTGAAATTTCTTGTGCCTTTTGGGATTATAAAAGTTACAGAAATGTCAGTAATCAAACTGCCTCCAAAAATCGTACCACCAGCCTCCTGCTGGTTTTTTATCTTGTGACTATCAATCACTATGTGAGCTACCTTTTGTAATTTTGCCTTTCCATCTCCTAACTTATATGGGACAACACTATTATCACATGTGTAGTCCACAAGGGCTTATTTGTGACAACATGTTACTTGTGGAAATGAAGAATCCTTTCTCTGGAGGAATGTATAAATGACATTTTATCCTATGTATTCTGTAAAAACCACAATAAATCCACTGATCCATTTACCGCTTATAGATGAGAGAGGGAGTGTCTTTTACATCATACAATCAGTCTGTAACAAGATTTGAAAGATAAGACGTTATGATCATAAAGACGGGCTATGCTTACATGCACAGTAATCAAGTATCTATTCAATTCGTTTCCCTTCCTATCACCCTGTCAAGACTAAAACACTGAAGTCTTGTTATTACCATGCTCCCTGTAATGCTGCTTTCTTTGCTGACTGAAGCAGGAACTCAAGCAACACGGCCTAAACATGTACAAGTCTTGAAGTGTTCTGTTTCCTGTTAAAGGCTTGGATAAAGACTTCAAATTACTAGAAAACAGCTGGGGATGGACATTAAATCCTGTCAGGCACATTTACTTTGATCCACGTTCAAAACATTCAGTGGTTAGTGGATTATCAACTTGTCTTAACCCAAGCGAAAAATAAAATATTGAAAACTTTCCCCTGAGCAGCAGGATAAAGGTCATGGTGTAGTCTGGTGGGCTGGCTTGCTGCTCTGATAAAAGACTACTAGGAAAACCAAATGAACGAACCCCATTAAAAAGTTACAGAGTTTAAGTAGCCAGGGAAGGTATTGGCTCAAGTGAGTAGCAAGCTAGATTCAGGCATCTGAGCAATTTTCACAATTCTAATAAGTACTACAAAATTTAAAAAGCAAACCAAACAAACAAAAAATCAAAGCCTTAGTTTATATTCCTCTTTTTCACTAAGCGTTGTGAAAAGGAAGAGGAAGTGTTTTAGTGCAGTTTTAACTAGGAATACTGAAAATTAAAATAAAAACAAAGAAGAGTTTCCTCATTGAGCCAAAATAAATTACTTAGCCCTAAACTGAACAGAAGCAAATTAAAAAAAAAAGCTAAATGTGTTAATAAGCACTCTCCGTGTGAAGAGATCTCTAGTTAGAATTTCACCCTTATTTTCTACTCAACTTTTTAATCATGCCTGACTGATCCTGATTAGCCAGCTTACGCTGCTAAACCCCAGGTCAAACCCACAGCAATCAACACGGTAATATCTTTGTCCTGTGCTACAGCTTCCTTTGAGCAGGTTGGCCAAGCTCAACTGCAATTTGCTTAGCAATTCACCTGCTGTGCTGGCTACCACTCTGGAAGGAACTGAAATTCTGTTCACCAGCAAGAGCTGGTGCTACTGAAGTGTGTGGGCAGGGGAAAAGCGGTTGACACAGATCCACAGGAAGCCAGGTCAGATAGTTCAGCTGTTAGGAAGCACCTTGGCTAAGCACAGGAGTGGCTCAGACTAGCTGAGATCAGTTATTCAACCTCAGGGTTCACGCTTTCACCACTTCCAGATACTTCTAAATTTGGACATCTTTCTCAGAAGGGTAGCTGTGGAATAACTGGTCCCCTGGAAGTTTGTTCAAGTTGCTTTACAAGTCAAAGTCTCGGACCATGCTACAAATCCTGATGTTATAGTACTGACATTCACCTCCTCCATTTCAATTTCTGAAATTCAGGTGCCTTCTATTGATGAAAAGGAAATGAGAGAATTCAGAAGATAAAGGATTTTGGGGAGGATAACCCCAGAAGTAAATGTACATTCTACAAAAGATCTCATGGACACAATCTGCGTGTGTAATGCATAGGAAATTTTTTAAAAATTGCTTTATCCTGCCTTCATGCCCCCCAAAGGAGGAAAGGAAAAAAATGTCTTTTCCTCTTTTAAAATGTCATCAGCAACACACTCTACTTACACAATCTGTGCTTAAAATAAATCTGCTCACTACACACCAGAGACACAAATCTCCATGCATGTTAAAGTATCCCAGAAAGCTCACACTGAAAGCTGGGGGCTATGCTCCCCTGGGACAGCAATTACTCAGCACAGGATTGTGTAGAACACCTTGGTCCTTGCCTCCAGAAGCACGTTGCAAAGCTACCACACAACTTAAGCACCAGAGAGCATGAAGCTTATTCCTAGCTCTTAGCCAGTAGCACTGTTGCCTAGAATACACGAAGCAGCTCTGAAATAAGTTTGACTCCCTCGCTGATGAAAGTATTCAACAAAGGCATTTCAGTTGCACAGTACCTGTTTTTCTGGGTCACTCCTGCTAACACACACCTTCATATGCATTGTTTAGAAATCTTTAATTGTGAAGCACACATAAATTTGTATAATTATCATAAAATCGTATAATTTTACACAACAGTCACAATATCGGTCACTGATGTCTTTCACTTTCTGCCCTGCTGGTTACAGCTGTCAGGCAGGCAGCACTAAGGAGCATAATGGAAGAGGGGCCCGGTGAGATTGCAAAATCTCCTTCGTTAAGAGACACTCAGAGCTGGGCTGGTCAAGTCCCAAGCAACCTGCTCTAACAGGACATGGTTTGAGAAGAAGGATAGACCAGGTGGTCTCCGGAGGTCCCTTCCAACCTACATTATTCTATGATTCTGTGATAACCAAACTTCTCCTGTCAGACACCAACCCCCAAAATTTCTCTCACAACTTGGTACAGCTCTTTCCTCCCTATACCTGCCCTGAAACGGTTCCCAGATGGCCAACTTCATCAGCTATGTTTGTCAACATAACAAATCGACCAAAGAATCTGTCACTATGGCATACAGCAGAAGCAGACCCATTACCAGGAGATTGGGTTTCCTTTTGCCCTAGACTCCGTGGGTGAGTGCATGCTGCTATTGATGTTTGGAGCAGTTTTCACTTCTGCCAAGCACTTAGGGGAACAAAGCTGGGATCTACAGTTGAATAACTGAATATTACTATAATTCAAATAAAATGGAACAACAACAACAACAAACTCCAAATTAAAAATGTATGCAATAGTAATGAAAGCCAAAGGGAGTTCTGCTGATCACAGAACTTACATAGAAGCAATCTCAAAGACAAACTTGGTTCAAAATTTCCATCTATAAATACAACCAATCCCACCTGTCGTTCTTCCTCGAGACGTATTCTCTCCTCTTCTTTCCGCCTTTCCTCCTCTCTTTTTGACTCAAGTTTTTTCCGTTCTTCTCGCTCTGCTTCTTCAGCCTAAAAAAACCCAAAACATTACGCGAGCCAAGCCTTACTCTTCCTGAATATACATTTTTAAATTTCATATTGTGATATCATGGGGGCATTTCTTACTATCTTCCTAGGTGCATGTTCAGAAAGAAACAGTAAAGAGAATAAGAAAAAAAAGTCATTATCATTTAACTTCCCCTCCCCCATCTTCAGAATACTTAACATTATGATAAGTTTAGAAATTACCCTTCTCATGTGCATTATCTATATCTCAGTAAGGGTTTAAGTTTAGTAATAAGCTCATATCCATTTAGTCATATTAAATAATATTGTGTCATGGCATTCTATTTCTCCTCACTTAAGATTTAGTTAGAATGGACTCTAAGGAGAGAAAAAAAAAAAAAAAAGGAGAGGGGAATATAAACTCCGTAAACTCAAGTACATTTAAATTCATCATTAACCTGGGCAGAATGTCTTAAAGACAACGTTGTACTGGTCTCTTCAATACGTTTTATTATTTGGTTTTAAACCAAACCTAGCAAAAAGATTGTTGCAAAATGGAGGAAAAAAGGCATTTAGTGTATTGCTTAGAGATTTATTTTAATTTGTTCTTCAGTCTCTTCAGTATATTTAAATTTGAAAATATATTAAAAGAACAAGCAGAAGACATTCAAAGGGAGGATTTGTGGCTTTGAATGTTTCAGAGAAAAAGACCTAACCGAGGAATTTATCTGTCTACATGGGAAAATAAAAATCAGCATATTTTAAAATGAAACAAAAGATTCCTCACTCCACCAACTGATGCTTATCTAACTTCATTCAACTTTGCTCAAATTTTCCACAAAAAAGCAGCTAATTAAATAGAATGAATACGGAAAGTAATGACAAAATGGTTAAAGCACAGAGTGAGAAAAAAATTGTAATGGAAGTTTATATATAACACAATAATCAAGTTTATTACCAACCGCCCTATCTACAGGGCATACCACTATGGTGTAAAGCAGAAACTGGACTTAAACCTCAGGTGACACTAAAATGGGATGTCACTGGCTTTGTAAAATTCGTGAAGTCCACTGTGCACTCCAGCCTCTGTTATGTAAAGGCTGTTTAAGTTTTATCTGCCTCTTGCAACCCCATGTTCCAAGTTACAGAACAAACAAAAAACCAGAACAACTAAAAGGACTTAATGCATAACCTCCCGCCACCCACAAGCACACTTCAGAAAGTAAGTTTCAAAAAGCCTGTTGCTTCCCTGGAATTAACAGCAACATGTTGGGCAAAACTGAAAAAATGCAACAGTATTTAAATAAGTAGTTTTGCACATAGATTTAAGAAAGAACAACTGAAAAGGTACAGTGTGTTTGTTCTGCATACTTGGTCTCTGTCTAAGGGCCAAAATCTGTCTGCATCATAGATTTCAGTGGATTACACGGTCTGCTTTTCATCTCCCCCATCCATAAAAACAATAAACATGGCTAAACATAGATAAACCCAGATAAAGTTTTTGCGTTATGAGAGCACATGAAACACTACTTAGAACTGCCCACGGTTTTGGTCACAGACCCGTGTTACAACAATGCTATGTGGGCTTTGGTGTATTTTTAAGGGGAGACAGTTCTGACATTAAGCTGCAAGCCAGTGGAAACATAAAAAAAAAAAAAGTATTCAAGAGTTTAACTCCTCTCTCCTCCCCACGAGAATGCCAGAGAACCTAATGGAAAGAAAACAAGACAACATTTTCCATGGTCCTCTTGGGATATGACATAAAAAGCCAAATTTACATTTTTAAAACAAAAACACAACTGTTGTAGTGATGACACTGCCTTTGCCTTTCTGGGGTGTCTGTCATCACCAGTTCTTTGCTGAGTACTGCTATTCAGGCTCTGCTCTGGGCTCTATACGTGGCAGGAAATGCTTACCTCTCTCTGTGCTTTTCTAGCTTGCTTCTCTTCTAATTTCCTCTGCTTCTTTGCTCCAATTTTCCCAGACACCTGAAATTCTGGCACCTCCTCAGCATCATCTTCCTCTGCAACATTGTGTTAAAGAGTAAACAACAGATTTTAAATAATCTGTATAAAGTCTCTTTGAGAAACTGCACTGCTTCCTAGCAAAGCAGCAGCAGATGAAAAGGAGACACACATACATTTCACACAAGACCTATTAGATGGAAAAAGGCATGAAAAAAAAAAAGTCACACAGGACTGCCAAAGCCACAGAGTAGAAGTAACATGGCAAACACACACTCAAGTGAAGCCAGAAGTAAAAATTTACTTGAACTTTTGAAGGAAGACTTTTCATAAATATTTCCTGCTTTCCACAATTAAAAGATATACTTTCTCTTATACATAAAACATGCTAATGGTTGTATTTGTATAACTGGTTAACAGCCACCTCCAGAGACTTTCTTCTCAGTTACCTTTAAGCTTAGCACAACAGACATCCATTCAAAAAAGCGGGATTCGGAGCCATGCCACTCATTCACTAATCCTAGCCTGATACAACTAACCTTTGAGGACGGGAAGAAAAAAACAAATCCCTACAGTGCAAATCTTGGGCTCGATTGCAACAAAATTACATGTAAATAGTTCCCCGTTATCTGACAATCGGTTGTTTATAAAGATGATTTCTGCAACTGTGGAATGTGAAAGCGTCATGCTCAAATGGTGTGCAAATGCATTATATTTCTGCTCACCCAGGGGCTAAGTAAGACTAAAGAGCTTTTAAAAACTGCCATTTCCTCCCCCACCCAATGTCTCATGAACATTTGGCCACTTCATTTGCTAATCTAAATCAGTCCTTGATCCTACAACATAAGTACTGTGGATTGACCTCAACACTCAAAGAGAAACCATAAGCTCGCTTCAGGAAACACTACACAACGCATAGAGATTCATGGGTCTGAATCAGGCGGCAGAACCAAAATGAAAGATCTTTATCGAATGGATCCCTTTTGGGGTAATTTATACTTTCAGCATCCACAGTGCTGTTCTGCTGGATGCTGCCTTTAGATCCACACACTTGAAGTCCACTGGGTAATCTGAAGAACAGCACTGCCAGCTCCTGCAATTTTCCTGAAATGCAACGTTTATTTAGGGAGGGAGAAGGGGAAGAGTGTGCAGGGGAAATTCTTCCTCAGTTAAGTTTTAGCCCTCATCATTGGGGGGCTGGGAAATAATTCCCCACTCACACAACCCCTGAGCCCCTGGTTTCCAAGACTGGGCCAACAAGAAGAAAAAGCCCATTATGTTTGATAACCAGTTTCACGAGAGCCTGCAGCAGTTGTGCCTGGAGCTGATCGTACTGTGGCAATCACCAGAACCGGTTCAGTAGGGCTGGCAGCAGGATGTTTTCTGCAGGGAACTCTCTCCAGAGCGCCTGGTCCCCTTTTTTGGGCGCCCAAAAAGCTGCTGTTAAAGGAGCATATAGATGAACGAGACTCGCCCTTTTTTTACATGTAGAATTAGGTTTGAAACACTCTTGTTTTACTAATTCCAATACACAGTATAGTACTATGGTTAAGCCACCGAGACACATCATCAGAAAGAAATGTAATTGAGAGCTGTGTAGGTGGCTCTCAAATAACTTCGCTGTTTTCAGGATATGGAAGTTAATATAGGCAGGCTTGCTGAATTGGGCTTCAGAGAATTACTGGTATCTGATTATTGAGATGATCAAAAGGGTTCCCCCTTCCTACACCACAAAGAGGGCAACAGGGGACACTCAGACTTGACACAGTTGCTTCTACAATTTTGCTGAAGCTTAAAATAACTTTATATTTTAAATACCATGCCAAGGGGAGCTCCAAACACAATGGGTGAGCAACCCAGCATTGGCAGTTATAACTCCAAAATTAACAGTTCAATACTGGTATTATTCTTTAGAAAATTATTTCTGGAAAACACCACAAGTATAAAACACCATCTATGCACTCTTCAACCTGAGGCTCTGAGCGCTTCTCAGATTTCATCTATATTAAGAGTACCTGAGCCAGAGGTTAGGCAGAAATCTAGCAAGGCTTTCAAAGCTTTTTTCCAGTCCTGGATCAAACATGCCTTTGTTCAGTAGCATTTGCTTTCCTCCCGTTTGAAGCATTTGATGTGATCCCATAAGTACTACTTCCTCCAAGCTTGTTCTAGTGCACGGAGCTACAGCCAACAAGACAGCCATGCAGACGCAGCCCATGATTCAGCAGAGCTTTAAAGGTCAGCTGTGCACTAAACCTGGGTGCAACTAGTATGTGCTAAATAAACCTGAACGTGCTGACAAGAATATAAGCACACGGTAAAAGGATTTGCTGAATCAATTGGTTATTATAGCAGAATAGCTCCACCAAAAGCAGAAGGGATGCTGCAGCCAGCCAGTGAGATTTTTTTAAAAAAAAAAAAATAAACAAGCTATCGTTTCAGCAGCTTTTAACAATCGCTTTTCACATACTCATAGTTGCCAAAACTAGTAGACCTGATGGGGGTCAGTCCATAGGAACATGCACTCCATCTGCCCCTGTGCTTCAGATGTGATGCAAGATGTTCAGTTAATCGCACTCACTTGTTGTGAAAGCAGTTCATCATCACCCAAAGCACTAGGGCTGGCCAGCCTGAGTACACACTCAGTTGAGAAACCTAGCAACATCAGACATCATTGTATAGTTAAAACTGAAAATGTATTTTTGGTTGAAGGCTGATGTTCTCCGGTCTTCTGTACAGTTTATCTGATGTCTTAAAATGTGACTGTTTCTGGGATGTATGTAGGGTTGTGGCAGGAAAGGGAGAGAGGTTTAGTGCTCCAATCTTGACACAAGCACTTCTTCAGTAGTGACTTTCCCTCACTGCTCACAGTACCACAAGACAAAAAAGTCCTGTCACCACTTCAGGATATGGGGCTGATAAAGAACACCAAACCTCAAGGCTACATAATGCTCTTGAAGGCTCCTGAACTGCTTGGCTGTGACATGATGGGACTGCTTTCAACCACAGTCACAATTCTACCATCTTCACAGAGTCCAACATAACTATGTTAACTGTGTCCTGGGCTGCATCAAAAGAGGTGTGACCAGCAGGTCGAGGGAGGTGATCCTGCCCCTCTACTCTGCTCTTGTAAGACCCCACCTGCAGTACTGCATCCAGCTCTGGGGCCCCCCAGTACAGGAGAGACAAGGAGCTGTTGGAGCGAGTCCAGAGGAGGCCACGAAGCTGATCAGAGGGCTGGAGCACCTCTCCTATGCAGACAGGCTGAGAGAGTTGGGATTGTTCAGCCTGGAAAAGAGAAGGCTCCAGGGAGATCTAATTGCAGCTTACCAGTACCTGAAGGGGCCTACAGGAAAGATGGTGAGGGACTGTTTATCAGGGAATGTAGTGACAGGACAAGGGGTAATGGGTTTAAGCTGAAGGAGGGTGGATTTAGATGAGATGTTAGAAAGAAATTCTTGACCGTTAGAGTGGTGAGGCCCTGGAACAGGTTGCCCAGAGAGGTTGTGGAGGCCCCATCCCTGGCAGTGTTCAAGGCCAGGTTGGATGGGGCTTTGGGCAACCTGGGCTAGTGGAGGGTGTCCCTGCCCATAGCAAGGGGGTTGGAACCAGATGATCTTTAAGGTCCCTTCCAACCCAAACCATTCTATGATTCTATACCAACATTTCCAGCGTTTGTGAAGCATTCCCACCAGCTTCCAGCTCTAAGAGACAGAAAGCAGAAATAGTCCGACTTACAGTGATGCTGTCACACCACTTTACATATTCTGCTTTACAGAAACATGGGTTTTGCTCAGCTAGCCAGCTGAGAGGTATCTTAGCTTTGCCTTAATGTTTTGAACATATTGAGAGGCAGGATGACAGGAAACAGTCAGTCACGCAGGCGTTTGAAACTCCTGAAATGTACAGACTACTGTTTAAAAGTACTTCCCAATACCATTAGAAAGTGTTTCTGGAGTGCTGTTGTTGTCTATCAGGACAGGAATTTACCAGCTACTGTGTACAGAATATGCAAAAACTCCAAACGAAGCAATTCACATCATGTATTTTAGTTGCCCTTGTCATCTGTGTCAAGGGGTCTATCTTGCTTTCCTTTAAGTTTTGGAGGTGAAGCAAATGGATTCCCATCCACAAAAAAGGATGAAAGCTGCACACGTGGCTACTCACAAAAAGTCACACAGCTAGCTGCTTTATTTACTATTTACGTAGCACCTAACAAAAGGAGTAAGAGAAAGAGGGGGGAAGGTGCCAGGAAAAACAAACAGTTCATCCTGCAGGCAGAAGACATATGCGTGTTATTAACATCGAATAGATCTATGACACCAGGCACTGGAAAGGAATCGGTCCACCATATGGAAAGGTGTGGGCATTCATGAGTAACACAGCCCTGCGGTGGTACAGTCATAACAATTTTTGGTTTTAATTTGGTAGTTATCCAGTTTAGGAACTGAATGAGACATTGGTTTATTAATCTGAAGCCACAAAATCAGTCTACACTTAGGACAGAAAAAGGCCAGCAAACAAGGGACATCAGCCCTTTTGAGCAGAAGTCAAACGACTTGAAGTTTTTTCTCAAATAAAGCCATATGGTGTAACTGAGAAACCACACACCTACCTCTTCCACACACCATCTGCGCTTGAAATGTCTCAAGGGCAGATACACATTGTGGATACTTTGATAACACTGAAGTCACTTTCTATATGAATAGTAGCAAGTCAAAATTAACTTTTGATTCACTAGTTAGGATATTAGTAGTCAAAGTTTAACTGTACTAGAAAGGTTTTCCTACTGATTAAGCATTAAAATTATTTCAACTACAAATCAATTAATATAGTTTCACAAGTACAGCATGGAACCACATCAGTGTTTCTAAGTTAATGTGTTTTCCAGATCTTTCGGCACACGAGTACAGGGAGATGCAACATCACATGCAAGGTAGAGTCTGCTCAGAAAAAGTCCTTCTTTAGAGAAATTCCAGCACAAACACATTCTCCTCTAAGTTATGCACAGTATCCATCACTGAATGGGAATAAAACCCCCTGTAATTATTTTTTATATTAT